AGCTCCACCTTCTCAGCTTTGGGCAACAGCTCCATCAATCATCACACCTTAATGGCAGCCCCACAGTCTGGAACTGAGTTGGTGAAGATCTGACTCTTTGAAACCTAGGAGGCTACGGCCCCACCCTTTGAAGTCAAGAAGGCCCTGTTTCCCATGCTCCTTCCAACAGTTCTGCGGGTCTCTGAGCTGCTACACGGGATGGTCTTTTTCTTCTCTTGGAGAACGACAGATACAGCTCTTTTGGCCTGTTTCCTACCTGTAGAATTCCAAGAGGCAGACACCGTTCTTTCCTTTTGTTCTTTTTCTGTCCCCTTCAGTCTAAGCTGATGCGTTATCTGCTGTGGTAGTTGGTTAGATCCATCAGTCACAGGCTTAATTTATTTAACAAAAGTTTGTTTAGTCACATCCTTGGTGAACATTCTAGGACACGTGTCCTTAGTTTGTACAAAAGAATTTTCCAGATCTTTAAGTTCTGCTTTCATCTTGCACAGTTCATTTTTAAGTATATCTCTTTGCTCTCGTATTTTACTATAAACAGGAAGGAGAAACCATGCAACCTCTTTAAGATCTTGCTTAGAAATCTCATCAGCCAGATATCCAAGTTCATCTCTTACAAGTTCTACCTTCTAACAAACAGTTGAACATAATTCACACAAGTTCTTTGACACTGCATAAAAAGCATTGCCCTTCCTCCATTGTCCAATCACAAGTTCATCATTTTCTTTTAAAGCCTCACCAAAAGCACATTTAGTGTCCACATTTCTAGCAACATTCTGTTGCTAGTGCCATATATATTCTTTAAGACGATAGAGATTTTCTCTATAGCACTCCTCACTTCCTTCTGAGTCCTTATAAGAGTCACCTTTGACATCCATAATTATACCAACAGTTTCTTCAAGGCTATTTAGGCTTTTACTATTAGGCACCTTAAAACTCTTCCAGCCTCCACCCATTACTTAATTCCAAAACCACTTCCACATTTTAGGTATCTGTTAGAGGAGCACCCCACTCCTGGTACCAAATTTTCTCTTAGTTATTTAGTGCTGCTATAACCAAAATACCACAATGCGTAACTTTAACAAATAGAAATTTACTTTCTTACAGTTTAGGAGGCTAGAAGTCCTAATTCAGGATGCCGGCTCTCAGGAAATGTTTTCTTTCTCTTTTGGCTCTGGAGGAAGGTCCTTGTCTCTTTGCTCCTGGGCGATCTTCATGTAGCTTGGCATCTGTCTTTCTTAGTCTCAGCTGTGCTAGCTTGTTTAATCTCTTTTATATGTCAGAAGAGATTGACTCAAGATACACCCTACACTAATCTTGCCTCATTAACATAGCAAAGACAACCCATTCCCAAATGGGATTATAACCACAGACATAGAGGTTAGAATTTACAACACATATTTTTGGGGAACATAATTCAGTGCATAACAATCATTGTGCTTCTTAAGACTTTAAAGAGGTCTTTTGCAATAGATTTGCCTAATGCAATACATTGTTTGATTTTTTGACTGCTGCTTTCATGAGTGAAATCCCTGACAACTTCCATTTCTTTGCCTTTTATCATGACGTTATTTGTCCAGTTGTAAGAATTTTTGTTTTCTTTATGTTCGGATGTAGTCCATACTGAAGTCTGTAGTCTTTTACCTTCATCAGTAAGTGCTTCAAGTCCTCTTCACTTTCTGCAAGCAAGGTTGTATCATCTGCATATCTCAGGTTGTTAATGAGTCTTCCTCCAATCCTGATGTTGCATTCTTCTTCATATAGTCCAGCTTCTCAGATTATTTGTTCATCATATAGATTGAATAAGTAAGGTGAAAGGATACAACCCTGACACATACCTTTTTCAATTTTAAAACACACAGTACTACCTTGCTCTGTTTGAATGACTATCTCTTGATTCACATACAGGTTCAGTATGAACATAATTAAGCATTCTGGAATTCCCATTCTTCACCATGTTATCCATAATTTATTATAATCTACACAGTTTAATACTTTTGCATACTGGATAAAACACAGGTAAGCATCTTTCTGGTATTGTCAGCTTTTGGTCAAGATCCATACGACATCAGCAATGATATCCCTCGTTCCATGTCCTCTGCTGAATCTGGCTTGAACTTCTGGTAGTTCCCTGTTGATATATGGCTGCCATTTTTTAATTATCTTCAGCAAAATTTTTCTAATATGTGATACTAATGATATTGTTCGATATTCTTCACATTGTGTTTGGTTGCCTTTCTTTGCAATGGGCATGAATATGGATCTTTTCCAGTCGATTGGCCAAGTACCTGTCTTCCAAATATCTTGACATAGAAAAGTAAGTGCTTCCAGTGTTGTGTCTGTTTGTTGAAGCATCTCAATTAATATTCTATCAATTCTTGGAGACTTTTTTTTCACCAATGCTTTTAGCACGGCTTGTACTTCTTCTGTCAGTACTGTCAGTTCTTGATCATATGCTACCTCCTGAAATTGTTGAATGTTGACCAATTCTTTTTGGTACAGTGATTCTGTGTATTCTTCCTATCTTCTGATGTTTTCTGCATCATTATAATTTTTTGCCCACAGAGTCCTTCAATATTGCAACTAGAGGCTTGAATTTTCTCTACAGTTCTTTCAGCTGGAGAAACACAATGGTATTCTTCTCTTTCAGTTTGCTAACTCCAGGTCTTTGCACATGTTATTATGACACTTCACCTTGTCTTCTTGAGCTGCCTTTGAAATCTTCTGTTCAGCTCTTTTACTTCATTATTTTTTCCTTTAACTTTAGCTACTCTACTCAAGAGCAAGTTTCAGAGTCTCTTCTGACATCCATTTTGGTTATCTTTCTTTCCTGTCTTTTTAATGACCTTTTATTTTCTTCATGTATGATGTCCTTGATGTCATCCCACAACTCTTCTGGTCTTCAGTCATCAGTGCATAAAATTTTTCTTGAGATGATCTCTAAATTCAGGCAGGATATATTCAAGGTTGAACTTTGGCTCTCTTGGACTTACTTTGATTTTTTTTTCAGCTTCAATTTGAACTTGCGTATGAGCAATTGATGTTCAGTTAGCCTCTGATTTGTCTTGACTGATAATATTGAGCTTCTGCATTGTCTCTTTCCACAGTAGTCCATTTGATTCCTGCATAAATCATCCAGCAAGGTCCATGTGTATAGTCGTCTTTTGTGTTGTTGAAAAAAGTTATTTCCAATGAATAAGTCATTGGTCTTAGAGAAGTCTATCATACTATCTCCAGCATTGTTCCTATCACCAAAGTTGTGTTTTCCTACTATTGATCCTGCTTTTTTATTTCCAACTTTTTCATTCCAATCACCAGTAATTATCAATGAATCTTGACTGCATGTTTGATCAATTTCAGACGGCAGCAGTTCTTTAAAAATCTTCAATTTCTTGATTTTTAGCTTTTGTGGTTGGTGCAAAAATTTGAATAATATTCGTATTGACTGGAAACCCTGGTGGTGTAGTGGTTAAGCGTTTGGCTGCTAACCAAAAGGTCGGCGGTTCGAATCCACCAGGTGCTCCTTGGAAACCCTATGGGGCAGTTCTACTCTGTCCTATAGGGTCGCTATGAGTCGGAATCGACTCAACAGCAATGGGTTTGGTTTTTTTTTTTTTTTTTTTTTAACAGTATTGTACTTCCGGATAGATCTTGAAATGTTCTTTATGATGATAACTGCAACTCAATTCCTCTTCAATTTGTTGTTCCCAGCTTAGTAGACCATATGACTGTTGGATTCAAGATGATCAATACCAGTCTATTTCAGCTCATTAATTCCTAGGATATTGATCTTCAAGTGTTCCATTTCATTTCTGACAACTTCCAATTTTCCTTGATTCGTACCTCATACATTTCATGTTTCAATTATTCATGGATATTTGCAGTTGTTTCTTCTCATCTTGAGTCATGTCAAATCAGCAAGGGAAGGTCCAGAAGACTATACTGCATCCACATCATTGATCGACTCTATTCTGTGGAGGTAGTTTTCCCAGTCATATTTTGAGTGACTTCCAACCTAGGGGGCTCATCTTCTAGTACTATATCAGACAATATTCTGTTGTTATCCATAAGGTTTTCATTGGCTAATTTTCTGAAGATCGATAGGCCTTTTTTCCAGTCCGTCTTAGTCTAGTAGCTCCATTGAAACCTGTCCACCATAGGTGACCCTGCTGGTATTTGAAATACCAGTGGCATAGCTTCCAGCATCATAGCAACATGCAAGCCACCACAGTACAACACACTGACAGGTGGTGGAGGACAGAGGAAGCCAAGCATAAAGAATTTGAACCACAGGAAGCAGGAATTCAGAGGACATAATTGTTATTACTTCAATCTCCAAACCCATCTCAATCTGCTCTTCTTCTAGCCCACTGTGTTCTAGCATCACTGACCTCCCCCCCTGCCCCCCTTTTTGGAATATGCCAACTGATCTTCTAGGGACATTGAGAATTCCATTCTCTTTGCCAGGAACATTTTCTCGTCCACCAAGAGATGGCCAAGAGCTTCCTTGCTAATGTCACCTTCAGAGTGACCAGCTCTCCAGAGAAGCATTTCTTGACCATCTTAAGTAAGTCAGTTTCACTCCACCCTCACCACTACCCTCTCAGATCAACCTGTTGGTTCACATCATTTCTAAGCACCATGGCTGTGGAAGTCCACATTCATTTTGCCCAGCATTATCTATCTAGCATCTAGTACAGTACCTTGAACATAAACCTGTTGCCATCTGGTTGATTCTGATTCATAGTGACCCTACAGGACAGAGTAGAACTGCCTTGAACCTAGTAGATGTTAAATAAAGATCTCAAGGCCTTCATATCTGTTGTTTCTTGTTTTGAATAACTCTTCCTCAACATCTTCACATGGCTTACTCCTTCCCATCTGTCCCCTGGGCTCTTTCACCAGTCACCTCCTCAGAGAGCCCTTACCTCATCACCCTATAGTCTCACTACCACATCCATCTATCACTTTCTTTTCCCTTAGTTAACCCTTCATTATCTTTCTTCTTACCACTTAATGCCAGGTGAATTATATTGTGTATTTACTTGTTTACTGTCAGTCTTCCCCTAAAGAATGTGAGCTTCGTGAATGTGTGACTTAGTTCATTGCTATATTCCTAGCACTGAAAATAGTGCCTAGAACATAATAGGTGCCCGATAGGACTTGCTGAATAAATGAGTAAATGAATATAAATCCAGGCGAAGTCATGCTGAATTCCATAATGAAATACTTAGGAAAAAGATTAGAAACTGAGTTAGCATTAAGTTCCAGTTAAACCTTAAACATTAGAGGATTTAACCCTTGCCCCCTTTGCCTCCTGGCCCTATCTCTATGTTGTAAGAAAGGCAAAATAAATGATCTAGAGTATCAGTCTTCTTAATTCTTCCATACTATTCAATGTCATTTCACTTTAATTTGGCAGCTTTGTATGATCTTTTGCATTGCATCTGTTAGCTGTTGGGAACAAAATATAAAGTGAATAAGAGAATGAAATTTAACTTTACCCATTGAGCATTCAGATGAGGAAATAAGTAACATTGTCAGTGGATGCTTGAAGATCTGTATCAGTCTTCACCTTGGAGAGTCACAAGTGATCTGCAAAGCATTGTGACATTATAAACAAGTCTCCAGATCTGGTACATGATTAATCTATATTATATCTGTATGATTATTATTTTAAATAAGACATGTCTCTGAAGAGCCAGAAAGCTTTGCCTATATTCATCTCAGGATTCCTTCTCCTGTTCATGAAAGCTGGATTATTTAAAGGTGTTGTTATTGATATTTTTCAGAAGGTTACTCACAGGGTATTAAATGTGAGTACTTGCATGTTTTGTCATTAATTGAGACCTTATAGATATTTTAGGTTTATATTTGCAAAAACAGAAACATTATTTTTAATAATCAAGGAGCTTCTTATCATAAAGATGCTAATTCATTTTTCAAAACATTCTCTGATTTAATAATTGTATGTATATATAGTAATAAATCAATTATAACAAATTATTGTAACAAATCAATATTTTTTGGAGTTGTGAAACTTAATTGTGAAATAAATATGAACGTGCTTCATGAAGAATGAAGCATTGTGAGAAGGTATTATATTATGTATGCTTAATATTTTCCTAGATAAAGCAAACTATGTAAATGTTTTATTCTCTTGCCCGGTGTGTGCCTTGACTAACCCATGGTTAATTGGACAAATTGAGCTATTTTCCTTATTAGGAAGTAACCAAGGTGACACATTTGTAAGGTCAAGGTCATAGACATAGCCTAGAGCCTTGAAACCATTTTTATTGGGGCAACTCTAATGGTAAATGGAATTTCCGTGTAAATTGTGTCCTGACCAACCTCTCAGTCACTTAGCTGACAAGCCAAGACCTTTCATCTCCTTAGGGATAGGTTTGGTCTAAAGAGCTCGGGATTTGGGGCCCAGTAAATGTGGGTGTCTTTCAGCATGATGCCCTGCCTTCCCTGCCATCATATACAATGATTGGCAGCGAGCAGGCTGGAGATGTGACCCTTCTGTTACCAGATGGCTTTAGAGTTGGCTGTCTCTACCAGCTTCAGAGGGAACGCCGTGACACTAACAAAGCCCGTACGGAGTAGAAATGAGACAACTGAAGATGAGAAAGAGCAAAGCCTTCCGAAACTGAGGCACACTGAATTCCTCTGAATTGCTATTATTGGCTCCTGAGAATCTTTTAGGACAATAGGTGAAATGACAATAGAATTAGGTTTTTTAACCTCAGGAAACAAGAATACAGGCACCATCCATACTGAGCCAGGTTAATGATTAAAACCAAAAAAACCCAAACCTGTTGCCGTCGAGTCAATTACAACTCATAGGTTAACGATTAGTCATTCTTTATTCCTCCCCACTAGCCTGCGAAAGCGATATCTTGTAAGTTTAAATTGCAGCAACTGGAATTTGCATTAAACATTAAACAGAACTTCTGGATCTGTGGTTCCTAATTAGGAGATCCAGCAGAATGATCTGGGATTATTTTTCAAAATAAACATGCCTGGGTCTCACTTCGGTCTCACTTCTTTGTGGGATGGGCTGAGGAATTGCGTTTTAATTTGGGTATGCCATAGCGAAGACCTTTCTTCCACTTTCATCTTTTGGAGCACTGGGTTCCTTGGGGAGCTAACTTGCTTTCTCCAGTTGATGTGGACTTAACTTCCCCATCAGCTCATGTTTGGCAGGAAGATGGCCCTTTTTGTATACGCAACTCAGGATCTGGGGACAAACGGTTTTCTGAAAGGCCAGCAGAGGGAGCTAAGAAGCAAGAGTTTTCCTATTGCCAAATACTCTCAATGGCTAAGAATGTAGAAAAGCAAACAACTTTACCACATTATGATTTGGAACAGATTCAACTAAGAACCTAATATCCCCATAATCCGGCAATTGGGCGTGTCTATTATTTCAGTCCCTCGAGTCAGAATTGACTCAACGGCCAGCGGTTTGGTTTGGTTTGGTTCCTTCTCTGAGACCACCGTGTAGTCCGGGCCCCAGAGTGCTAGGAGAACAAATGTAACACGTGCTGGCCAATGTGGGCTTTGCGCTGTGCTCTGATCCTCCTTGGGGTCAACACAATGAGAGCAGAATAAAATTGGACTTCGGATAACAAGATCCAATTGCTAATACATTTCTCCTGAGATTTTTTTCTAATAAGTTAAAGAAGTTTATATAGTTATAGTTCCGTTTCTTAAAATGAGCTTTTCTTCAGGTAATAGAATTATCCTTTCCAAACCTAAGAGTCTGATGACAAGCCCTTCTGTTTGGATCCATAAAGGAGCAGTCAATTACCCAGGACAGAATGAAGTTGATTTTATGCTAGGTCAGCAAACAGGTCAAATAGGTAATGTAGAAATGAAAAGGAGAATTGGCCATAAAAGGGGAAAGGAATAATCATTCAGCCTAGCCTTGCAATTGTGAAGAGAAATGGAAATGCTTAAAACACACACACATACTTGAATTTTGAAAGAAAAGTATTAAATAGAATCCATTAAGTTCCTGAACAAATAGAATAATAACAATAATTTTGTACTAATGGCAGAACTTCAGATTATTGCCTGGATATTAGTGAAGAATGATGACCAGAACCAAACAGAATCTAGCATTCTTTCAGTCAGAATCTCTATTCTTCAAACAATAGAAACGAAATATTGATTATGGAGTGAATCTGGTTAAAAAATAGCTTTAGAACTTTTATTTATTTACTTACTTATGTATTTACTTAGGGAGGCCCTGTGATGGGTCAGATGTGGCTTTTCTGGTTTCTTCTGTAAATGAATGCCAGCCTGGGGGCTTGCAGAGTTGCTGCATCTGAAGGACATGCTCAGCTTTTGACCTACAGTGGCGCCCAGCCTAGCTTGCTCTGGACGCTGTGGAAGGTGTTGCTGTAGCATCAAGTGATAGCTTCTTCTCAGTTAGGCAGCGTCCTCAGCCAGCTGGCGATTCTGAAGGGCTGAAATATTTGCTCCTTGACATGAAGTCTATGGGGCAGTTCTACTCTGTCTTATAGGGTTGCTATGAGTCAGAGTTGACTCGACAGCAATGGGTTTGGTTTTTGTTGACATGAACTCAGTGACTTTTTCTAGTTCTTATGTAACTGGGAGTCATCTGGGGTTGACCTGTCCCTTGAGATGTAGGTGCAATTGCCTTCAACTCTCTAATTAATGGGCCCGTGGAAACTGAAAACCAAGCCTTCTGCTCAGTCTCCCTAGTGGGGGTGGAACTTACGTTTTGAGAGTTCCCTCTGTCTCCTTGGCTTTCCGCTTCCTCTTGCATTGTCTGTGTCATCCTATGTCAAACTTGAAACTTCTCCTCTTCAATTTCCACCAAAAAAAAAAAATCATGCACACCAAGCATATTAAGATTCTTCACTGAAGGGGGCCCTGGGGGTGGTGATAAGAGATATCCAGGGGAGAGGTTACAGCTCAAATCTCAGCCCCTTCTCTCTCAATGGTACCCATTTCTCTCCCTTTCTTTTCTCTGCTCTCCCCTCGATCTTCTGAGGCAGTTCAACTGCTCTGTCTTAATTTGCAGAGCAATTCAGCAATTTTCTCTAGAGCCTTGTGCTGGCCTTCATGGAGGTCCTTGGTACTGGTGGTGGTGGCTTGGAGAGGAGTGGAGGTGAACTTTTTCCCTGAGTCCTTCTCAAAATATCTTTCCAAAGGAGAAAGGTGTTCTTCTTTAGACAAATTTTGGTGTAAGCCACAGGCTAATATTTTATCAACTTTATTACGATTATTTTAAGTCGATTATTTGTATCATTGCAAGAATAGTCCCACCTAATTAAGCTCCATTCCCTTCCCTAATCCTGAAACATAGAAATGGCTGGCTGAAGAAAGGAAGAAAGTTGAGAATACTCTTTAGTAGGAAGTATGTGCACCATATGAGGATTCTCATTAGAGCAATAATACAAATAAAAACAAAAATCCAATCAGCTCACATGGGCATATAGCAATAATAACAATAATAAATATCTCGCTACTTGCCTTCCTCCCCCTCCTCCCACACCAGCCCCCACAGGCAGCCACTTTTGACCATTTCTGCTTTTAGTTCTTCTGATGGTTACAATCATAACGTCTTGACTGAGATGGGTGACTAACCTCTCAGCATGAGGATGGGGCTTGTGGACTGGCAGGCTTAACTTAAAACACATGGGCAGGAAGTCAGGTTAGAACCACTCTTAAAGCTCCAAAAGAGTGTACGTCCCATCACTGTTGGTTTCCTCCTTAAATCTAGCGGTTCTCAAACCAGCGCACCACCTGGGAACTTGGTAGAGAGGGAAATTCTCCAGCCTCACAGCTGACAATGAATCATAACCTATGGGGGTGGGGCCCAACAAGTGTGTTTTAACAAGTTCTCCAGGTGACTCTGATGCAGGCTTAAGTTTGAAAATTACTGCTCTAAGCCAATCATAAACAGTCCATTCCTCTTGTCGGTGATTGGTTTAGGGGTAGCACGTGACCCTGTTATGGCTAATAGATGTGATGGGAGGTTTGTATTGGGGGCTTCTGGGAAAAGATTTCTTGCTTTTAAAGAGAGATGCACGGGAAGAATGAGAGCCTGCCTCAGTCCTTCGCTTAAAAGAAAAACAAAGAAAAAAAAAAAAAATGCCATTGCTGAGGAGTGGATTCTGACTCATAGCGACCCTATATTGTCAGGTTTAGATGAGGTGCTTGGCACTGTTGCCGCCATCGTGTAGTCATGGGGTGAGCTGACGTACTGAGCAGAAAAGAGCTGAAAGATGTAAGGAATCTGGATGCTTGATGATATCCCTGAGCCCCCAAATTAACCACCCAGGGTCCATCCTATTGCAAACTTTTTATTGGATAATTTTTTTTTTTTTTTTTTAATTTAAAAGCTAGTTGCGTTTGGTTTTCTGTTACTACCAATTCTGGTACTAGCAGTCAAGTTCCCTGATATAGTAATATACTGGAGCTCTAGTTCTTCCCAGATGTATGACTAAGTAGCTGCAAAGAACAGCTCTAGCTCTAAGCTGGGGTACAAAATCACTATTGCATTCAAGGCTGAGGAGAATGAGTAGAAGAGTGAACCAACTCCACTGTTTATTCCATAGACATTTGTTTAGTCATTTTCATACCCGTCCACTCTGAGTCCATGCTCCCTGCTCTGTTGCAGCCTTCTTTTGTGCATGTTCTGAGCTATTGTCCTTTCTGTCAATGTTTATCTATCAGTATCATTCCATCCATCAACTGGCTCCCAGAAATTCATGAAAATTCTTGGCCTGCTGATTCTCTTTCATCCCCTCCATTCCTCTATGACCTTCTTTACTGTGATTTAGATGGAGTTTGGTGAGGGCAGAGAGATAAAGGAATATTCTTAGTCAGTCAACTTGAGATGGAAGTCCCAATTTTTATTCTAAAAAATTTTTTTAAATTGTGACTTGGTACCTATTGTCCCTTGCAACTCATGACAGAACAAGAAGGGAAGATGAAGTGCATAGAGAAAGAAGAGAGCTGTTTAGTGAGGTCCCTTCTGGAACAGCCAGATAACCCCTGAGACATACTCTGATGTTATAGAAATTAGTCCTAGCTCTTACATGCTGTGGCTTCTTCCAAAATGTAGATCCTTCCAGATAATACAGGGATATTGCAATGACTCAGCTTGGCAGTGTAGAAGACAGCAGGGCTTCTGAGATTACCTTAGAAACATCTTTCCCTTGCAGAAGGTAACTCAGAAGACCTGGAATATATGGGTCCGTCTCCTTTAATAGTTTATAAAACTGGAGTTTCAGTCGTCCAGCAAAAACAGACTGAGAATTTATATGTCGTTTTCTTCAAACCTTCAGCCATGTGATGTTATCTTGAGGTAGCACTTACACTGGTAAGAAACCACCATGAAGTCTCTAGGGCCATCTCAGATAGCCATCTGTATTCTACTTCTACAGAGTTTTCTGACCTATACTTCCTTCAACCTGATGTGGTTTTGCCACAGCTAATCTTTATTCTTTTATCCTAGATGAATAACATACGCAGATTTTCTCTCTTTAAATATCAGAGTGTGACATTCTATATGTCTAGAAGTATTGTTATTCATAAGGTGGACTTGATGAAGAATGTTGAATATACCATGCATTTACAGAAGAACAAACACTCAGTTTTAGAAGAAATAGAACCAGGATGCTCCTTAGAAGCGAGGATGGTGAGACTTCGTCTTGCTTATTTTGGACATATCATCAGGAAATACCAATTGCTAGAAAAGGACATCATGTTTGGTAAAGTAGAGGGTCAGCAAAAACAAGGAAAACCCTCAATGAGATGGATTGCCGGAATAGCCGCGACAATGAACTCGAACACACCAATACTCATGAAGATGGCACAGGACTAGGCAACATTTCATTCCGTTATACTGAAGGGTTACCATGAGTCGGACCCTACTCTACTGCAACAGTAACAACAATAACAGCAGTGTTTGCTTTATGTGCTTTTATGTGTATATATGTTAAACTATATTTCCTATATCAGGGACTCCATTTTTAAAGGGCAAGATATGGGAGAGGCTTCGTGATCTGGCCTAGGATCAGGATGTTGACGTTTCTACTGGCTCTAGAACTGAGTCAATTCACTCTGTCCTTCTTGAGCTTCCGATTTCTTTCCCTGCAAAGGATGGGGGATTAATCACAGCCTCTGACAGGTTTGTGGTGCTGAGGCTTGACAGGGGTGTGGGGGAAAACCTGCCAGTGAAGTATATGAAAAGTTAAATTTAAACAACCACACCACCATCATTGAGAGTACCAACAGTCAATTTAAAGACAAAACACTACCTTTTACATTTTAACTTCCAAAGCAGATGCCGATTTCCATGGTTTGTGTCTGTGTGTGTGTGTGTGTGTGTGTGTGTGTGTGTGTGTGTGTATAAACCTACCCTTAATTCATTGGCAGGAAAGTTTTGGTTTCTTTAAAGTGGGAGTTTGAAGTTACACATAATTTTAAAGCATTTTAAGTGTAGATATTTTTATGATTCCCCTCTCCCATGACTTACATGTAATTTCACATATTTTATGGTGATGTACACTTATTTTATCTTTCCAAAGCGATTGACTTATTTTTTTTTTTATAGAAAGCGCTAGGTTTTTTTGTTGTTGTTGCATTCCTATTTCGTTGGTTTACATAATATACTTCGTCATATAATTAGAATAATTAGTACAGTTTGCATTACTGGGCTGGGGACAGATACAACTGAATTGATAAACATACAATTTGCTTGGTGGAAGGAAAAGGGACTAGGCATGCTAGAGAGTGTCCTCCCAGCTGTGATATTCAGCAGACCCTGGACATCATTCAAAGTGTTTTGCAAAGGACTGGAGGGGGTTGGGGAATTAGTGTCCGTGCAAGTCCATTAAAGGAGGCTCTTCTGTGCCAATCAAATGTGGTTCCCTTCAAAGTGGTCCTCTAGAACTTGGCCACTCAAAGTGCGGTGGGTGTTACCAGCAGCATCCACATCATCTGGGTGTGGGTCAGGCCTCACTCCACATCTCAAGAATCAGGATCTACATTTTAACAGGAACTCAGTGATTCGTGTGTACAGTTAAGTTCGAGAATCTCTGCTCTAGCGTTCTGCCTTCCTGCTCCACACACTCTCCTTCTCTGCGCTCACCTGTTTTTGAAACTCGTTCAAAATAGGTGCGTGATAAATATGGGATAATCTTACTCTGAAAACGTGAGGAAAAATTGTTTCTGGACAGTTTTGGGAATTGTATCCGGGGCCAGCTTTTGGGTCACCCAAGAAAATTGGTTCCATAACCATTATATTGGTTTCCTATTGCTGCTGTAACACATTACACACATTTCGTGGCTTAAAACAACATAAATTCAGTATCCTACCGTCTGGAGGTGAGAAGTCCAATGTCAGTCTCACTCGGCTAAAGTTAAGGTGTTGGCAGGGCTGGTTTCTTCTGGAGGCAGGGAGGGGAGAGTCTGCTTCCTTGCCTTTTTCACCTTCTAGAGACCATCTGCATTCTTTTGCTCGTGACCAGGCTGGATTACCCAATAAGCAAGGTACGCACGGGCCGCATTGTGCCTTCCCACCAAACTCAGTGCACAGTTTCCCTGTCCTCCACCGCGTCAAAGGTGTGGTGAAACCCATGTGAAATTGCTCACCATATATTAGCAAGTAAATACAAGTAAGCCCTTGTGGACCTTGCTCAATGCAAGCCGGTACATACTGTGCTTACTGGTTATTCTGCCCCTGGATGGTGACCACTTTCTCACACTATTCCAGCCTCTTGCTTCTGTTGTCACATCTCCTGGTTCTATAGTCAAATCTCCTTCTTCCCCCCTTTTATAAGGACCGTTGT